TATGAGGGTAAGGCTCAAAGTCAGAGTGCTTACCTAACATGCAGGAGATCCTGGATTCAATCTCCCATGCCCCCGGAGAAAAAAACAAAACAAGATTTATGACTCCTACCCAGGAGCAGTGGTGCATATTTGTAAACCCAGCGATGTGGGAGGCTGAGGCAGGAGGAACATGAGTTCAAAGCCAGCCTCAGCAAAGGTGAGGCGCTAAGCAACTCGGTGAGACCCTGTCTCTTAAAAAAATACTAAATAGGGCTGGGGATGTGGCTCAGTGGTTGAGTGCTCCTGAGTTCAATCCCTAGTAGCCCCCCCTATCAAAAATGAAAAGATTTGACTCCTATGGGAAACTCTAAATTATCTTTAAAAGGGATGCATATTACACTATAAAAAGAATATAATCAAGTACATAGTCATAGATTATTTTGAGGGGAAAACTTTTAGGACTTTTTCTTTCCTATATTTTTAAAATGCTAAGTTTAACAGTTATAGAAAGATATTTAAATATTATAAAACTTTCTTCTAAAAGGGATAGCTATTTCTAATTAACTCATTCAAAATTCCACACTTTGGTAACTGAATTCAATCTTACCACCTAACTTCTTAAAGTCACTAGTACCTCAATCTTTCTCAGTCAGGAGTTAACCTCTTCTCTTATTTTTTCTTTAGTACTGGGGCTTGAACTCAGGGGCACTCAACCACATCCCCAGCCCTATTTAGAGACAGGGTCTCAGTGAGGTACTTAGGTGCTCACTTTTGCTGAGGCTGGCTTTGAACTGTCGGTCTTCCTGCCTCAGCCTCCCGAGCTGCTGGGATTACAGGCATGCACCACCGTGCCTGCCTAATCTCTTCTTTTTTAATACTTGCTTGGTGATTGCAGAAAACCCAATATAACATAAAAGTGACCATTTTTTAATCATTTTTAAGTACAATTCAATGATGTTAAAGGCATTTGCAATGTTGTACAGCTATAATTACTGTCAATTTCCAGAACTTTCTTATAATCTCAACCAGAAACTCTGTACCCATTAACAGTAACTCCCTATACCAGTACCTGTTAACCTCTATTTTCTGACTCTGTAAATGTACCCATTCTAGATATATCATATAACTGACTCATACAATATTTGTACTTTTGGATAACTTATTTCACTTAGCTTGTTTTAAAGGTTCATCCACATGCGTGGATATATCAGAATTTCACTTCTTAAAAAAAAAAAAAATTCCATTTCCTCTTAAGGCCGAATAATATTCCATTGCATGTATATAGCACATTTTGTTTATCAATTCATCTGTTAATGGACATTTGGGTTGTTTTCACTTTAATATATTCTAAAATATAACAATAATCAGAATCAAAGAGATTCTTTAAAATGTGGGAGCAGAGGGAAAAATACAAAGTGAAAAGACATAAAAGATATACTGAGGTCTAAGGAATGAAAATAAAACAAGTAGCAGCACACTTTCAATAAGCATACTCTGTGTTTCATTCTATAATCTCTCTAAAAACTGTAAAGATTATAAGACTTGACACTTGATTGCAGCAAGAAAAGCTATTTACTACATTTGAATATAATCTTCTAACCATTGATATTTTTCATATACTCATTAACAAGTAAGTTTTCAATGCCTACTATGGCAATACACAAAAAGAAGAGATAATATCACTATCCTCACAGAACTACTTTAATGTATGGATGGATATCTCTCTCTCTCTCTCTGGTGGTGATGCTGGGGATGGAACCCAGGACTTTGCACATGTTAGGTAAGCACTGTATCACTGAGCTATATCCCAAGCACTGACTTTTCTTTAAAATTACAAAAACTTATCATTTTAAACCTTAGTGCTATAAAGAACAAGAAATACTACAATAAACTAAAACAAGAATATGTGATCTAGACTACAAAGTCAGTCAAAATTCTTTAAAAATGAAAATTTCAAACTGATTGCCTAAAGAGTTAACCTCACAAATAAAGCTAAGTGGTCCTCATGTACAAAGGCTGAGATTGATGTAAATTCCCTACAAAATTGAAAATGACAAAACATAAAAGATATATAAAACTATGAGAATAGACAGAAATATACTTAACTTGGAGAGGAGGTTATCAGAAAAAAACAAACATTAAGGAAAAAAACTCCAAAGAGGAAAGAAAAGTAAAAAAGCTTGTGGTATCAATTAAAGTAACAAGTTTCAAGAAGGAAATAGTACTACAGTGTAATAATAATAATAATTCTGAGAAGTAAAAGAGGCAAGAACTTAAAATCCAATTGATTTTGTAAAAGTAAGTCACAGATGACCTTGAAAGAACTGCTTTATGGTCACAAAACTATCTAACCACATCATCAGAGTTTAACCAAGAAGAACTACTTGTAAACTGTTAACACGTGAAGCCAAAGACATTTCTAATTACTCCACAATTTTGATGCATACCAAAAATATAAGAAATTCCTTTTTCTCCTTTTCTATTTATTTATTACTATTCTTTACTTATTCACTAATCTTGACTCTCTCTGGAAATGATAATGGAAAGTTTAAAGTCCTAGAGCATTACTACATTAGACTTGTATGACACTGCAATGCAATTTCAGACCAAAGAGATTATTGGAGCTTGTTCTCTATATATCAGATTTCCTGGTGTATTTGCCTGGTATGTATCAAAATCTAAATTTATAAAAATAAACAAAATCTCCTACCCATTCCCACTCTGTGCGATCCAACAGTGCTATTAAAGGATATTAGAATACCTTAACAAAATTTCTCAGTCACAAAAATACTATTATCTTCTCCTGTAGCTTAGTATTAATTGATCTATGATCAAATCTTTTTTTTAATATTTTATTTTTTAGTTGTAGATGGACACAATATCTTTATTTTATTTTTATGTGATGCTGAGGATTGAACCCAGGGCCTTACACATGCTAGGCAAGTGCTCTACCACTGAGCCACAACCCCAGCTCTGTGATCAAATCTTTTTCTGAATTAGCCCTAATCTAATAAATCTAATTCAAATAAAATTTAGAAATATTATGCTAATAAATTAAGAGTGATCATTTTTTTAACTGATTACAAAAGAGACTTTGAAAAGCTAATTTTTCAAATGCATTTTCATGTTTTAATTCATGCATGCTTATACTCAACGTTTTTAGGAACATGTTATATAAAGTAGGATATGATCATTCATATTTCCTCTTTTCATAACCATAAAGCAAACCTAATTTATTTACTGCCTACTGAAATTTGGCAATAAGTTAAAACAACCAAAAAAATTAACTGCTTTAGAAAAGAAAAGCCAATTTAAAAAACTCAAGTAGAACTTCATGTTAAAGAAAAAAACAATGACAAGTAAAATCTAGTATATGAAATGGTTATTAATCAAGAAATATGCTGCTGGGTGCAATGTCACACACCTGTAATCCCAGCTACTTGGGAGGCTGAGGCAGGAGGATCACAAGTTCAAGGCCTGGCTGGGCAATTTATAAAGTCCCTGTTGCAAAATGAAAAAGGGCTGAGAATATAGTTCAGTGGTAGAGCACCACTGGGTTCAATCCCCAGTGCCCACCCCCCTCACCGCCCCAAAAAGGTGCTGTGGATTTAGTTTAGTGGCACAGAACTTGCCTAGCATGTGCAATGCCTGAGTTTGGTCTGGGTGTGGGGGGTGAGGGGCAACAAAAGAAAGGGGGGCGAAGAAAGAAATAAATTGTTGTCCATTTGCAAATATCTACCCATAGGCCACTGTTTCTCAATGGAAACACTACTGGCATCTGAAATGAATGACTACTCAATATGGACTGTGCAGTACCAAATATTTAGTATCCCTGTTATCTACCGTTTAAATATCACAGTGTAATCCCCTCACCAATCACTGTGATTATCAAAAAATAGGACTCCCAACATACTGTGTTACCCTAATGGTGTTACACAATACCATCCATAGTTGAAAAACACTAGAAGTAGTTTCAAAGCACAGCAAACTTCCTACCATAATGAAAATCTTTCTAATAAAAGGGGTTGTGGCTCAGAGGTAGAGCGCTTGCCTAGCACACATGAAGCACTGGGTTCAATCCTCAGTACCACATAAAGTAAAATAAAGACATTCTGTCCACCTGTAACTAAAAAAATACATATTAAAAAAAAAAAAAAAAGACTGCCGCATTTGTCTTACTAAGCAAAGCAAACAACATAATTTCAACATTTCTTAAGACAGAGGGTCTTGATTATGAACAGTAACTGTTATGTGCTATTGCAATATGTATCTAAGAAACTAAAAGTATATGTTATCTTTGATGCTATCTATGCCCCATCTATGTATTTAAACATAAAAAGATTTTTTAATTTTTGTTTTTGGACATAGGGTTGTTCCAAGCTGCCCAAGCTGGTCTCAAACTTGTGAGTTCAAATGATTCCTTTGCCTCAGCCTCCCAAGTAGCTAGGACTACAGACATGAGTCACCATACCAAGCTAAGAATTTTATCTGACACATCTAGTACATTATATTTTTTCTATTTATTTATTTATTTATGCATGCTGGGAATTAAACCCAAGGCCTTGAACATGCAAGGTAAGCATTCTACCCAATGAGCTATTTCCCCAGTCCCTATTTTATTCTTTTTGGCTAATGTTATTCCTTCCTAGAACGACTACCTCTAGCATTCTCTCTTAAGTCACAGTAATTTTTATCTGCTAATGACCAAACATATTAAATGAAAAGTTTGATTGATAGATGAAGGCTTAAAGATGGCTCCAGGCCTCCCTGAGAATTAAAGTGCATGGACTTGAAAACAGCTACCGTCTTTCTCATTAAGAATTTTTTTGATTTACTTTTTTGTTTTTATAACTGTTATAATTTAAAAACTTCACAATGATCTGACAGCTGAATACAACAAGAAGTTAACAAAGCACTTAGTACTAACTAGTCAACCTTGAGGACTAAAGTACACTACTATATACTATCAAATATTCCAATCAAGTATTATAATTGTTGCTAATAATATTTAAATAACTCACCTGATTTCTTTTAGTCCTTCTCTCTGGATAACTTGAAGAATTTCTTTATGACTCATAGGTGTATTGGGGTATTTTTCTAAGACCTGAGAAATAAGTATATAATAATAAATTATTACTTATTTTAACTTCCTATCCTTTTAATTACATATGTAATTGTATTTAATAATTGTCTTAATAGTTACATACAAAACATACACATCCAGAGAATTTTCAACCCAGATCTTCTTCCCTCAATCCCAAACAGACATATCCTGAAGCAGAAATAAATCGAAAAAGCTAAAATTAATAATTCGAATATTCACTATTGACTTGGAAGACTAAATAAGGAGGATCCCAAGTTTGAGGCCAGTGTCAGCAACTTAGTAAGACTCTGTCTCAAAAAAAATTTAAAAAAAGGGCTGGAGAGGGGCTGGGGCTCAGTGAGAGAACACTAGCATAGCATATGTGAAGCACTGGGTTCGATTATCAGCACCACATATAAATAAATGAATAAAATAAAGGTTCAGCAACAACTAAAAAAAAACATACATATGTAAATTTTTTTAAAAAGAATACAAATAATAATAATAATAATAATTAATTAATTAATAATAAATGCTGACGAGGATGTGGGGAAAAGGGTATAATTATAAATTTGTCAGTGAGAGGCCAGGCATAGTGACGTATATCTGTAATCCCAACAAGTGGGGAGTCTGAGGCAGAAAGATCACTCAAAAGTTCAAGGCCAGACTCAACAACTTATGAGGCCCTATGCAACTTAGCAAGATCCTGTCTCAAAATTAAAAATAAAAAGGATTGGGGATGTATCTGAGTGGTCAGGCACCATGAGGTTCAATCCCCAGTACCAAAAAATAAATTGCTGGTGGGATTGCAAATTAGTATGACCATTTTGAAAAGCTATATTCCATAGAAGACTAGAAATGGAACCACCATATGACACAGCTACTTTCACTTTTTAATATTTATCCAAAAGAACAAAAATCAACATATTATACTGATACAAGAACATCAGTGTATATAGCAGTGCAATTCACAATAGTGCAATTCACAAATTATGGAACCTGTCCAGGTGTCCATCAACAAATGAATGAATAAAGAAAATGTGGTAAGGATATACAATGGAGTTTTACTAAGTCATAAAAAAGAATGAAGTTATGGTATTTGCTGGTATAAATAGATGGAAATGGAGAACATCATGCTAAGTGAAATTAAGTCAGACTGAAAGTCAAAGACGGAACATTTTCTCTCACATGCGGAAGGAAGCAAGAGCAAAATAAGGAAAAGTGGGTGGGGTGCCCCATGAAAACAGAAGGCAAACCAGTGGAGTAGAGAAAAAGGGTTAAGGAGGAAGGAAAAGGAATGGGAAAGAAGAGGAACTATGGAATGAAATTGACCAAATTATGCTATGTACATACGTACAGGAATATACCATAGTGATTTTCACCTTCATGTGTGTATCTATAAAGCACTAATTGGGGGGAAAAAAAAAAGAGCTAAATCAAAAGAAGGAAGACCAGTAGAGAAAAGGGAATCAAGGAGGAAAGAGGGAAAGGAAAAAGAAAATATTGGGAACTAAAGTAGAACAAATTACATTTCATGCATGTATGATTACATCAAAATGAACCCCAATATTATGCATAATTATGATGTATTAAAAAGATTTTTTAAAATAAGATAAAAATAAAAAACCCAGTTTTCTAGCCAGATTACAAGAAAGGGTTTCTAGGAGGAGTTTCTAGTAGCTGTGTTATATGGTGGTTCCATTTCTAATCTTCTGTGGAATCTCTACACAGTTTTTCCAAAAGTGTCAGAGACCGGGCACAGTGGCGCATGCATGTAATCCCAACATTTTGGGAGGCTGAGGCAGGAAGATTGAGAGTTCAAAACCAGACTCAGCAATTTAGGGAGGCCCTAAGCAACTCAGCAAGACCTTGTCTATAAATAAAATATTTTTGAAAAGGCTGGGGATCTGGTTCAGTGCTTAAGCGTCCCTGGGTTCAATTCCTGGTACTCTCCCCTGCTCAAAAAACAAAACAAAACAAAAAGTATCAGGGACCTCGCAGAGAAAAGAGAGCTTAAAAAAGTGATACCATACAGTTGTTGTTCTTCTTCTCTCCCCTCCCTAAATCCCCCAGGGTACTTTACCAATGAGCTACATTCTCAGCACTTTTTTATTTTACTTTGAGGCAGGGTCTCACCAAATTGCCCTGGCTGGCTTCCAGCCCTTGTAATCCTCTGCCTCAGCCTCTTTAAGTAACTAGGATTACAGGTGTGTGCCACTGCATCCAGCTTATCGTGAAGTTCTACTTTACTCCTGGGGTCACCCAGTGCTATACATCTGTGGATTTGACCCTAACCAACATTACTATCAAGTATACCAATACCAAACACATAAAGTAGCCACAAGGTGACACAAATGCAGGGCAGATCCAAGTAACCATGCAAAGGATCTGAAAACTAGATATTGGAATTATAGTGCACAGAAGATGAACAGAAACTTGTGACTTGAACCTAATAAGGTCAAATCCTGCTTTAAAAAACCCTACAGAGTCTACATTTTCCATAGGATATTTTTGGGGGAGTGAGGGGGGATCAGGGGTTACCAGGGATTGAACCCCGGGGCAGTAAGTTATATCAGCAATCCTTTTATTTTTCATTTTGAGACAGGGTCATGCTAAATCACAAGCTGGCCTCAAATTTATGATCCTCCCAAGTTGCTGGTATTACAGGTACACACCACCACAATCAGCTTTCCCTAGAATTTAAACAAGAGTACAAAGAGTATCATAACACAGCATCAAAATGTCTAATATAAAATCCAAAGTCTCTAAACACATAGATTAGGAAAAGATCAATAACTGACCAAAAAAAATGACAAGCAACAAACCAAAAACAAGGAAATGTTGCTAAAAGCAGCTAGTACAACTTTACTTCAAGAAGTCAGGCTAACCAGGAGTGGCCAGTGCCTTTAGTCCCAGTTTGAGAGGCTGAGGAAGGAGGAGATCACTATAACTCAGGAATTTGAGGCAAGGAACCCTCTCTCAAAAATAAAACAAGCAAAAGACTCAAGAGTGAATATTCTTGAGACAAATTAACATGTTTTATTTATTTGCACTTATATATAACATTTTAGAATGAAAAACTATAATAATCAAAACTTAAAAACTAAAAGTTTCTTAGGAGGAGGACTAAATAGCAGAATGAAGATAAGAGAGGAAAGAGTGATGAAGGGGGGGATAAATGAACAGTCAATGGGTCAAAATCAAAAGCTCTGACATTCATGTTATCAAAGTAACAAAGGGAAAAGACAGAGTGTAATACAGAAAACAAATTGGAGGGAATGACAGCAGTAAACTTCAGAAGATCAGCAAATGCCACACAAGACAAATACCCAGATACACCACAAACTACTGAAAACTTAAAAAAAAAAAATCTGTAAAGCCATCAGGGAAAAATAACTCATTCTCAATTAGGAGAATGATGATTCAAATGACTATGGGTTTTTCATCAGAAATCATGAGGGAAGCAGCAGGAATATTTTTAAAAAATATATTTTAGTTGTCAATGGATCTTTATTTTATTTACTTATATGCGGTGCTGAGAGTTGAACTCAGTATCTCACACACACTAGGCAAGCAAATCTACCACTGAGCCACAAACCCAGCCCAATGGAGGAATATTTTAAAGTGCAAGAAGGGACTGGGGCTGTGGCTCAATGGTACAGTACTTGCCTAGCGTGTGTGAGGCACTGGGATCGATCCTCAGCACCACATAAAAATAAACAAATAAAATAAAGGCATTCCGTCCATCTAAAACTAAAAAAAAAAACCCTTTTTTAAAAAAAGTGCAGGAAGAAAAAAACTACCGACCCAAAGTGCTATATTTAGCAAAAATATCCTTTAAGAATAAAGGAAAGGGCTGGGATTGTGGCTCATTGGTAGAACACTTGCCTCACACATGTGAGGTACTGGGTTCGATCTTCAGCACCACATAAAAAATAAATAAAGATATGTGTTCATCTACAACTAAAAAAAATATTTACAAAAAATAAAATAAAGGAGAGAGCTGGGGATATAGCTCAGTTGGTACAGTGCTTGCCTCACATACATGAGGCACTGGGTTCAATCTCCAGCATCACAAAAAAGAAAAAAGACAGAGACAGACAGACAGACACACAGAGAGAAAGAAATCAGGATGTTCTAAGATGAAGGAAATTACCAAAACACTTGCACTAAATTGACATTTTCTGCTAGGCATCCTGGCACACAATTATAATCCCAGCTATTTAAGAGGTTGAGGCACGAGGATCTCAAATTTGAGGTAAATCTGGGAAAATTAGTGAGACTCTGACTCATAATTAAAATTTTAAAAAGAGGTCAGATACAGCTCAGTGGTAGAGCACACGCCTGGGTTCAATCCCCAGTACTACCAAAAAACTGACATCTTTTTAAGTCAATTCTGGTATAAATGTTCTTCCTATGTGTTTCTCTTTAAAAGAGGAACTTCTTGAGATGGATACTGGTTGTTCTCATCATCTTTCTCTTCTAACAGATTAATGTAAGGTCATAAATTCCTTTTATTCACAGCTTTTGCTATATCCCACAAGTATTAAAATTAGTATTTTTGTTATCAGCTCAAATGGCTTTCTAAATGGAATCATAATTTCTTCCTTCACTTGTGTGCTAGTTGAAAATGTATTGCTTAATTTCCCAAATTGGAATTTTCTGTCTTATCTTTTTTTTCCTAATTATCAAAGAATTCAGAACACTAACCCCAATTACTGCCCTGACCTCACCTTACATGACATTTTTGTTGCTGCTGTAAATAGTAGGCACTTAGACTTATGTACTTATTTGCATCTTCTAAGAATTTGCATCTGTTCAGCACCGCTTCAAGCTTCCATCTGAAATTATTTTTCTTCCAAAATAACTCATTTTAATTTAACATTCCTTCAGTGTAAATTGCTAGTAACAAAGCGGGGCCATCCCTTATTCCCCAACCAATCTTCTGCTTTTCTGTTACTCTTTGCTTTAGTTTTTACCACTTTTATTATCATGTGCCAAGAAGTAATTTTCTGCTAGACATTTATTCACAGGGCTCCTGGAGCATTCTTACCATTAGGTCTTCAAAAATTGCTTGTGCCCCACTTTCTTCCCTCCTTGGAATCCGATTACTAAGTGTTTGACTGATGTCCCTTAGCACTTGATTCTATTATTATATTTCCCCGTTTCAGAAAAATTAGCTGACTTTCCAAATTAGCATGTTCCAAAAGTTATGAGTGATGATGGTTTATGTATTATGACAATCACATTATACAATACTAGTATAAAGTCTAATGATGTTTGTAATTACTTTTATGACTTTATTATTTTATTATAATAATTGCACAAAAATGTGAATATACAAAGAAAATTTAAAAATAATATTTAGTATTCCTCGCCCAACTACAATAACAAAATAGTATGTAATATTTCATTCTAGTCTTTTTACATTTGCATAGCATTTTAAAACAAAACTAGTACTGGAAATTACTTTTTTCCATTTCATATCATACAGCAACCATTTCTTTAGGACATTTAATATTACATGAAAACATGATCCTCAGCTGACTGTTTTACAATCTAATTAAACCATAATTGACCTCCAATTGTTGGATAGTTTCGTATACCTGTTATTATAACTAACAATAACTATTAAATATTCCTCTTCATAATTTTTTATATGTATTTTCAGAATTTTTTAGAGAAATTCCTAGGAGTACCCAACAAAGTGCATAAGTATTTCTAAGCCTTCTGATGAATTTTTACCAAACTGCTCTCCACAAAGATTTTACCCATTCACAATAAAAGCCAGTGTCCCATTACTTCCTCATATTTCTTGGCAACACAGGAAAGTGAATATCACCCTCCAACCTTCATTGTTGCAAATTTAGAAAGGGGAGGCAAGGTGAGAATGTTACCTTCTAGGGTTTTTTTTCCCCAAAAAATGTAAGAGTTCCCCCATGTTTATTTTGCTTTTCCTCTGTGTTCAGGAATAAGTCTAAGTCTTTCAGGTGGAGTCTCCAATACATGCAATGTCTTTTCTTTCTTCTTTACAGGCAAGAACATGAAAGCTTCATGTCTTCCCCAAGATCTTTTCCCCCTTCAAGTTAAAATAAAATACCCAAAATGACTGGAAAGTCTTCTTTTCTTCTGAGGAAAGAAGAAAAGTATCTTGGTAATAAACCAGCAAACTGTGCCATATGTGTATGGAAGGTTTCTGATCATTCCATGGGCCCTATCTGAGGTATGGTAGTGAGGAGAGTAAACTTTTGGCTTTACTGGCATTTTATTTCAAGGTCTTTAAAATCTAGTCAACTGAAACTGCTTCCTTGAACTCCTTCCAGCAATCATAATCTATTGCCATGGCAATGCCTACATTCCAGTCTCCTCAGCAAGAAGCGCCTCTGAAACTGTGATCATATTGAGAGCATCCAATTACTCCCCTACCCCAGCACACCCAGTTGTGGAACACAAGCTTTCTGCTCAGGAGCTAAAACGAGATCCCTCAATTTTGACTACTGTTTCCTTTGAGTGCCACCAGAGTCCTAGTTTCTTATATCCTTTTATGAGGACCTCTCTCACTTGGGGGGCAAAATGGCTTAGCCAATGAAAAATGGTACACTCCTCTAGCACAGGAATGACTTCCATCATAGAAGCTTTGGGGCCTTGGAATGCTCCTGTCAATGAACTGATCAATGATAACGTTATCTCTGGGCTGAATCTACTGTCATCAGTATGACGCGTGTAGAGTCCTCTTCCTTCAGAGCCCAGATATTCACCTGGTAGTTGATTTCTGAAGGCATGATGGTGCTCTGCCTCCCGTGTCTTGCAAGGAGGGTGCAATCAACATTTTTTATCTTCCCCCAGATTAAGGTACCAGATGTAGTATCAGCATATTTTTCAGTTCTTCCTACTAAAATTTCTAGATCATCCAGGCCTGTTCTGCCAGTTATTCCAATTATCACAGGCCATGGTAGCAAGGAACCCTGAAGCCAAGTCTGCATGGGAAGGAAGATGCTATGGGCAAGCACACTGGGTGAAGACCTAATGTTTGTACTTTAATACCTATATTTCCTTACTTGTGAACTGGTTATTCATGACCTTGGTCTATACACCATTTGTATCAGCTCTGTATTTCATATTAAAACTTTTGCTATTGTACATACAATAAAACACTTTTTCTAGTTTATTATTCATTTTTTTATTACTATTCATTTTCCATAGAGGTTATGAACTGTTATTTTTTTTTTTTTTTCAGTACTGGGAATTGAATCCAAGACTTTGTGCATCCTAGGCAAGTGCTCTATCACATTTCCCAATCTTTCTTTCTTTCTTTTTTTTTTTTTTTTTTGAGACAGGGTCTCATAAGTAGCACAGGCTATTTCAGAACTTGAAATCCTCCTGCCTCAGCCTCAAGTAGCTGGGATAACAACAGGCCTGTGCCACCACATCCTGCTTAGTTTTTTCTTTTAGCACTTCTACAATTAAATGTACCTTCCCTCCCCTTCAATAGCTTAGTAATTTTTGCTTTCAACTCTATTTAATTCACATAACAAAACATACACATAGGCCAAGGAGGCTGAGGCAGAGGACTGTGAGTTCAAAGCCATTCATAGAAAAAGTGAGGTGCTAAGAAACTCAGTGAGACCCTGTCACTAGGACTGGGGATGTACCTCAGTGGTTGAGTACCACGGAGTTCATCCCCAATGCAAAAAAAACCAAAAACACATAAGTGAGGAAAAATTAAGGAAATGCTAGAGGGGGAGGGAGAGGGGGAGGGAGGGAGGGAGAGGGGGAGGGAGGGAGGGAGGGGAAAGAAACAATATGGTCATATATTTTTGACTAAAATACTACACTCTAAGGGCTGGGGTTGTGGCTCAGCGGTAGAGCTGCCTAGCGTGTGCGACGCCCTGGGTTCAAGTGTCATCACAATAAATAAATAAATAAATAGTATTGTGACCAACTATGACTAAAAAAATAAATATTTTTTAAAAGTACTACCTCTATTACCACAAGTTTAATGTGAGTGAAAAGAGTAGTTTGCAAAGCATTTACCTTACTCTAAACACAGGAGGGCAGTGTTTATCACACAAAAACTCATTCCACTAGAACTGTTTATGAAACTACAAAACACATTTTTTTTTTTTGAAGAGGAAAAATTTTTATTTCAAACAGATTCCATGGCATGCATGCTACAGCAAAGGCTGGCTGTGGCAAACAGTTTCATTTCAAACCTGCATGGATGTATAAATTATACCTGGGAATGTATAAATTTTACCTGGGAATGTTTAACTTTTGTTAAAATGTAGATTCAATCCAACATTACACCAATTTTTACACTATTGTAGATGTTGTATTAGTGCTAGAGGTTAAATTTTCATCAAAAAATAAGAATAACCTTACAGCTATCTACTAAGGTAATGAGCTGAGAAATTAATTCCATAGTATTGCTCTGAAAATATACCCTTAGGTTGTTAAGAGAAATTCCAGCCCCATCCAAATGCATTATTTAACTGGGATTCTTTAGTCATCGTCTATGGTTGGCTTGACTGTCACTCCTCTTACTTGACCCATACCAATTAAACACCAATGTTTCTCAACTCTTTGGCTAAGGGCAATCTTTTCTCCTACTTCTGTGCACACAGGATTAGTCAAAACAATTTTGCCCAAATCGGCATTGACAGCACTAACGCTCCCTCCTGTTGACAGTGATCCTATGTTCACCATGAGCACTTCATTCATAGAAAGTTTTTGGACTTTTGCTGTTTTCTTATCTCCATCAGTGCGTATACCTACAAGTCGTTTAAGCAGGAAATAGGAAATTTCCAATTCTGTAAAAATCTCAGGTAAAGCTCCAATAGCACCAAGTACCTGCCCCACCATTCTGTCAGCATGGCACAAAGTAGGGACGATTTTTGTTCCAACTCCAGTAAGACCCCCTGGAGCAGCATACTGAAGATCATTATGTTTGATAAAAAGGGATACAATTTTGGAAAAGATTGGTTTACACATGAGTTTTCCTTCACTGTCTTTGGAAATAATACCAGGTCTGACTTCTATCTCCTGGCCCACCTTTAATACTTCTTTTGGAATAAATACTACCACCAGCAACACCTCCCTTAAGGTCGTCAACTTCACAACCAGGCTTGTTAACATCAAATGACCTAATAATAAGGTCAGGGTTCTGAAGTAAAGTCTCTTGGGGTACTGGTACTTTCTTTACTATGTATACTCACAGATGACTTCAATAATGTATTTCAGCTGAGCAGAAAATGGAATACTGGGAACTCCTTCTGCTACCTTGTACAAATGCTGTTCTTTAGCCTGACAAATCAATTTTATTCTGTAGAATCAAAATATGCTTCAGTTTCATGATTTCTATAGCAGCTATGTGTTCAGAAGTCTGAGGCTGAGGACAAGATTCATTACCAGCTATCAAAGGAAGAGCTGCATCCATCACTGCTGCACCATTCAGCATAGTAGCTATCAAAATATCATGGGCAGGACAGTCAACAAAGGAAATAATAATCTGGATAATCTGAAGTTCCCTTTGGTCCCTGGAATATCTATATGAAACTCATCAGGTGTGCTACTTCCACATGACCTATAACATTCTGGCCGAGGACAACTTGGGTCATCAAGTTTATAAATCTTTGCATTAGCATATCCAAGCTTGATTGTAATGTTTCTTTCTAGTTTGTTTTTGAACCTGACAGTGTGAACTTCAGAAATGGCTTTTACAACTGTGGACTTCCCATGAGCTACATGACCAATTGTACCTATATTAATTGTGGCTTGTCTGCTGATAACTTCATGTGATAGTGGTGTCAACTTGGTAACATCCAAGGTGGCAAGATTCTGCCGAGAAAGGTGCGTCTGCCCCAGAGTCACTCCAGCCTTGCCCCCAGCCATCTTGCCCAGAGAGGGACAAAACACAATTTTTAGAAACTACTATGTGGCAATATGAATAATCACTCAGATTTAAAATTAACACTACAGAGAAAGTACAACTAAATATGTTTTTAAAGTGCTTAATGTACTTACTTCTTAGCTTGCAGGTTCTCATTTCAGCTAACAAAAAGGATTTTAAAATTTTCTGAGACTTAAGAAAAAATCTAGGTAGCCTCTAAGATTTGAGTCCAACTCTAGCTAAATAACAATATTTAAATTGGTGCATTTATAAATTAATTCCAGATACACAAGAAGTACAGTATAAATTTTGCATAACCTAGATGATTTTATTTTATATTTAAAATGTTTAAATAAATAACATGGTAATCTTTATAAATTCCTATCAGTGTTATAAGGCTCACTTACTGTCCAAAGGCTTTAATTAGGATAAATAATTCCATAACAGTGAACCAGGAAATTTGAAAAGCGAAAAGATCAAAGTTATGCTATAGAACACACTAATGTTTAAGACCCAGAGAAAAAAACACACTAAACTAAGGAATGGTGGGGGATAGGAAGAAAACCATAACGCTTTGGTGCCTCAGAAATTATTCTAAGGGTGAGGGGTCAACATGTCAAAAGTTTACCTACTTAAAGGACAGAAATACGCGGGTGGGGTTGTAGCTCATGGGTAGAGCCCTTCGCACGTGCAAGGCCCTGAGTTTGATCCTCAGCACCACACAAAAATAAATAAATAAATAAAATGTATTGGGGGGGGAATATACTCTTAAAAAAAAAAAAAAAAAGAACAGAAATATGCTGTTAGCAAGAGGAGATCTTAAGCTTTGGAAGTTCAGATTCTATTTAATCAGGAGCAAAGAAATCAGACTTGTGAGGTCTTAGCACTGAATGAAAGTCTACTATAGATGGAACAGAAAGATAAAACAACTCTTCAAGAACAGTGAAGGTGGGGCTGGGTTTGTGGCTCAGTGGTATCATGCTCGCCTAGCATGCATGAGACACTGGGTTCGATCCTCAGCACCACATAAATGTAAAATAAAGATATTGTGTCCACCTAAAACTAAAAAATAAATATTAAAAAAAAAAAAAAGAATAGTGAAGGAAATGGGAAAAGTCAAGGAATGACTTTTGTCAAGAGCTGAACAAGTTTCCTATACTGGGATAAAAGGAAACCCAAGTAAACCAAACTATCCCAATTCTCCCTGTCCTAACATGAGAAGCAAATTAGGTTCAGATACAGTTTTTGATAAATTCATTATCATTTTGATTAAGCTCATTAGAACTTGTGCTACTTAAGATGTTACACTTGGAAACAAAATGAATTCAGAGGATATGGTATTCCTCACCTACCGAACTTACTATATATATACTCTCTTACTATGGAAGTTTAGGAGCTAAGCACATGATAAAAACAAAAAAATATCTGGAATTGAGACAGAAGGGATAACCAATATAGCCAAATACCCTCATAGGAAAGAGGGTAAGGGGCCCTACCAGACTGCGGAGCAGTATCTGTTGATCACTACCTCTGTCCAGTGATACACTCTTCCATGTGGCTTCTATGACACCAGCCTCTCCTTGGTTCCTTCCTACCTCTGTACCAGCAACTTTTTCATTCTCCACAATCTTATAACATTTACCCATCTTCAGGATTCTCTTCTCTTCAAAACTGCAACTCTCCTTAGGCATTTCACCCTCCAATGGTTTCAAAAATAATTATGCTCCTATAGTAGCATCCAATATATCCCTAGTACTGCCTTTCACACTCTATTTTTTGTAGCTGCACTTTAGTTTACTTGTCTTCCCCATTAGCATGTATGCTCCATGAGGGCTAGGACCACCTGTCTTGCTCATCTAGTATTACCAATGCCCATCACAGAGATTAAAACATCTGATAATTTACTGATGGAATCTGGAACATGGGTGGCAAGATTAGCCTTAAACAACATTAAAAATGCCTATTTTTTTTTAACAGAAATTAAAGATAAAAGTTAAGGGCAAATACAAATAAGTTTATAGACTGGGGGACAGAAATTTTAATGTATTAAGAAGTGAGGGGTTGGGGTTGTGGCTCAGTGGTAGAGCACTTGCCTCACAATGTGAGGCCCTGGGTTCGATTCTCAGCACCACATATAAATAAAATAAATAAAGGTCCATCAACAACTAAAAAAATAAAAAATAAAAAAAATAAAGAAGGGAGTACATGGAGGGGCTGGGATGGTGGCTCAATGGCAGAGCGTTTGCCTAGCATGTGAGGCACTGGGTTCAATTCTCAGCACTACATATAAAAACATAAAAAATAAAGGTATTTTTAAAAAAAGGGAGTGAGTACATGTAAATACTGATCTATACAAAGAGGCACCCATGGATATACAGAGAATACACGCACTGGCTTCAAAAGCTCAGATGTACAGATTTTACCTAAAGGTCTCTCAATTCTGAAAGCTCTACAAGTCACCCTGATTTAGTCCATTCTTATCTTGTATTCTTTTTACCTGATTATCTGAGAAGTCTAGTTCTCAAGGGAAAAAAAAAAAAATCTCTCAAGACAATCTCCCAAAACTCTAAATTTAGACTTAGTAACAATAAGAGTTAATACTGGAGTGGGGTGCAGTGACGCAAACCTGTAATCCCAGCAGCTCAGGAGGCTGAGGTAGGAGGATCATGAGTTCAAAGCCAGCTTCAGCAAAGATGAGGCGCTACGCAACTCAGTGAGACCCTGCCTCTAAATAAAATACAAAATAGGGCTAGAGGTGTGGTTCAGTGACCTCAATACCAAAAAAAAAAAAAAAGGGTTAATACTGGGGCTGGATTTGCTCAGGAGTAGAGCGCTTTGCATAGCACATGTGAGGCACTAGGTTCGATACTCGGCACCACATAAAAATAAATAAAGGTATTGTGTCCATCTACAACTAAAAATACTTTTGAAAAAAAGTGAATTACTCAACTAGCTTTAAAGTGCCCAGTACTATTCTAAGTGCTTTACATATATTGGCTCATTTAATCTTTATAATAATATGATATAGATATTATAATCCATTTTTCCATGTTAAAACTGAGGCACAGGCCAGGCATGGTAGAGCACGCCTCTAATCCCAACGGCTTGGGAAGCTGAGGCAGGAGGATTGCAAGTTCAAAGCCAGCTTCAGCAACAGTGAAGTGCTATGCAACTCAGTGAGAACCTGTCTCTAAATAAAATATAAAATAGGGCTGGGGATGTGGCTCAGTGGTCAAGTGCCCCTGAGTTCAATCCCCAGTACCAAAAAAACAAAAACAAAAAACTGAGGCACAGAGAAATTAAGTAACTTGTCCAAGATCACATCCGCTAATAAATGACAGAGCTACTCCTCCTGCTCAGTTGCCAACTCTGAGCCCCCTAGATGTTACAGGTCTTCAAAGAGATAAGCCAAGCATTTGGGTGACAAGGTAATTACACTGGACCTGTTTCATTCTGAAGGGGACAGGAATCTGGAATAGTTGTCAGAGGAGTTTGCCCTCCCTGCTTTCTGTGCCTCCGTCAGCACCACTAGCCAGGGATATGTGATTTTATTAACATGGGGCATAAAATCACCTCAGACCTAGTGACCCTTTTTAGGCAAAAGCAAGTATAACAATGGACTCTGATAACTGATATCACCAGACACTATATCAATAAGTAGTAAACCTGAGAGAAGACTGGAAATGACCTCTAAAATGTAGTAAATGCATCCTTAAAGTACATACAATACAGAGGTATGAATGGAATAGGCTTGGCCCCAAATAACACAATTTATTTCTCATCTCTGCAATTTCAGGCTCTGTTAGGGTTAGAGATCCTTAACCCCAGAATGAAACATTTTTATCAGAGAACCTTTAATCTGAATCTGAACTTAACAACTACTGGTTATTTTGGTTCATGATAATGAAGGAGACAACAAAAAAGGAGTTATTACACTGGAGAAGTAATTGACCACAGGAGTTTAACCTAGTACATGTAGTTCCTAGTGCTTCCACACCTAGTAAAAGCAGGCAACTGCAGACCAAGGCCAAGACATGATAAGGAAAAGGCGAACATATTCAGACTCCTCAGGAATAACGATCTCAGGCAAGCACCTTGATCAGTTCAAGTCTAATAAAGACTACGGAAATCTAGAATGGCTGATGATAGAAAGAGACAGTGAGTATCAAAGTGGTCTTGAAATAAGCTGCTGCAGCAGAGACTACAGTTTGTTCCACTAACCTTCTTAAGATACTACTGCCACACTTGCTGTCTACACTTGGTGACGAGAGGACTCCATGTGGAGCACAACCTATGTAAGGAACAAACTATCGCAGTCTTTCTTATCCTGCAACACCATTGACGCTGATTTTCACTGTAGCTATGAGACAGCATCTTTTATGCTACCAACATCCCACCTTTGCTCATGCTGCTTTCTGTAGATGACATACCTTTTCCATTCCTTTTTATACCTGAAAGTTTATCTGTCTTATAAAATATAGCAAAGACTTTAAAAACACCTAAGATTCTATTCTTTGAGGGCTGACAATCGCCTAGGCACCTTATACACTAAACAGCTAAGAAGGTTAAGTGATACACTTTTCTGAAAGTAATTTGGTAACATGTGACTTCACAAGCTTTCAAAGATTGACATCTCCTACCCAGTAACTTTCCTTGTAGTGATCTATAAAAGCAGAATGGCAGAAACCCATAGGAGGTCTAGGCAGAAGGATTTTGTTGTTTGTTTGTTTGTTTGTTTAAGTTGTAGTTGAACACAATACCTTTATTTTGTTTATTTACTTTTATGTAGTGCTGAGGATCGAACCCAGGGCCTGGCATATGCTAGGCGAGTACTCTACCACTGAACCACAACCCCAGCCGCTAGGCAGGAGGATTTTTGCAGAATTAGTAACAGTTATGGAAATAAACAAATCTAAATACCCAAAATTAAGACAACAAAATAAATTAACTCCCCTTCCAAAGAGTTAAAGAGCAAATCTCTTTAACTAAGGGAAGTTAAATA